TTATAGCAAAATATTAAAATGAAACTAATCTATAAAGTAGGTTATTAAGTTATGCATTTGATATATTTTAAAAAATCATATTTCTGAAATCAATGCAAATCACATATTAGCAATTATTTCACTGCTAAAATATGACTTTATTTATTATTTTTGAAGTAAGGAAGAATTTATTTGAATTAATATGGTGACATAATATGAAACATTTTACCTCATACAGAGCAAAAAGTACAATTTTCACGAAGATATGATTGTGCGCGAAGATGTGGGGCGATTTTAAGAATTCCGAGAAAACGTCCAACGTTAAAAGACGATGCATATCCATACATTTTTAACGTCTGTCCAATATATATGACGGAAAACTCATCGACGGTAAGGACGAGCAGAAAGGAAATATTAATGGAAAAGGAAAAAGAAATGTTAACAATTTTAATCGAAAACGACAAAATTAATGGCTTTGATAAATTACTAATAAATGTTGACATCAAAATTAGAGAAACTGTGAACAAAAATACGAAATTCATTACCTGCAAAAATTCTGATGAACTGTTTTTTATGTTTTTATGTTTTTCCCGTGCATTTCAAAATGCTTGGTTTAATCCTAGTATTACAGTACACTCGGGATTTGGCGACATTGACATTACAAATGTTTTAGCGAGCCCGATAAATATTTTGTTTTGTAAATTTCGTATTTTGTGAACATTGTTCACAATTCTATTCAGTTGAAATAATTCTTTTAGGCCATTTAAAAAAGATTCTATTAAATTATCAGAAGAACCGTCGAAGGTTTAATGTAATCGAATAAATCGCTGAAACGTTGCACTGAATTGCTGTTCGACATTCCATGTATATTATTTACTGCATGACTATATAAACCAACATTTGACGTCGAGGCTTGCGCGCTTTGGCTAGCTGCCAAATTCGAAGAAGTCAGTTAACGGCGCAATAATTTCAAACTCCATTTTATTTTCAGAAATATTTTCTTCACGGTTTTGTAATTCACCGTGGGAATTAAATACTGAAAAGCTTCAATACAGAAAGAGAACGGCGTACAAAACTATAATGATGGCAGTTTATTTTGAATTGAGGAGAAATCTTCATGGTAATGCCGAATTTCTGCTTATTTTGTTTGTGAATATCTGCTTGCAACCTGCTAACATCGTCTATAAAGTTAAATAGTGTTCTGTTTTGGTGTTTTATGACTTTCGGGTGATTAAAATTATATTGTGGTTTTCCAATCTTCAGTGGTTCCAGCGGTGCAATATTTGGATACACGGATTATCGTTATATTTGGATACACGGATTCGGTTATAACGTCCTAAGTGCTATAGCGCATATCATTCATATTAATAGATTATTGTGTTCATGATACAGGTTGGTGCTCAGACTTTGCACATAAAATCGAAAAAATAGTGTTAAGGAAACATTAGCATTACTATGAAATATTGTTATCTATAATTATGCCATACTTAATCAACACTAAACATTTTTATATTGATTCCAAATTGCAGTTTTATTACTTGTCGTTTGGAATTTATTCTTCCAAACACTGTGTAATTCGCCTTTTTTTTAAATATTGCCGTCATATATGTCTATTAGATTATCTCAATATTCATAATAAATAGAAGCAAAATATTTCATCGTATGCTATTTAACCAAGAGCTTACTTTAACGCACTTAGCTTACTATCATATACTATATTATTTAAATTATTTCTGTACAATATTATAAAAAGTGCAGAAAATAATCGTTGTTTACTACCACTATTCTAAAATGTAGAAACTAAAAATAAGTAAATACATTTACATGTGATCGAAAGAAATGGTGTTAAGAAAACATCAGCATTACTAGTAAATACTGCAATCCATAATTATTGCACTTTTAATCGCTTACTATTTAAAAAACAGAAATATTTTTTTTTAATTGGAAATTTGAGTTCTGTTATCTTCCTACTGCATTTATTTTTATATTCACACTACTAATACGTCATGTTTTCTTAAATGTTGCTGCATGTAGTTGTTGTTAGGTTATTATTTCATTTTAGATATGCATATGGGAAGTTATTAGATTTAGGTATATTTTTGCATGAAATATTTTTGATCACATTTATTAACTACTTTATACTGTCTTTCATTTGCATATCTTGGAGATATAGAAGTTAATGGTCATATTTTTTACTGTGATACGAGAATAAATTTATACTAGAGTTCAGGTAAAATACTGATTATTGTTACCTTAAGAACCGCTTCCTAATTTATCATGACAGGGACAATCTTCAATGTCTCTGAGATTTAACAGAAATAAATGTGATAATTCTGTTATCAGAAACGCTCTTTTTTTTACCCACATATATATCTTTACTTTTATTCATATCTAATTGAGTCTTATTTACTTAAAACCTACTATTAATGTTATATATTTATAATAACCACTTTCATAATTACTCTCACTTAAAGAAAAAAAACTGATCAAATCTTAAACAATCGGAACTTAAAATTTTAGTTATTTAAAAAATATAGTTTAAAGTACTGAAAATAATTACAGCTATTATTAATTATGCATATTTAGTCTAAAGAGAAATTTAAAAACTATAGTTTAAAGTACTGAAAATAATTAAAGCTATTATTAATTATGCATATTTAGTCTAAAGAGAAAAAATTGTATTATCTTCTTGTTTTCAGAAAATGATAAAATATTTAAACTTTAGATAAATACAAGTAAATACAAGGAATACAAAATTTTAAAAAAGAAGAAGACTATATTAATTTTTAAGCTTATTTTTCTTCATAAATCAATATGTAACACAAGGACATAATAACGATATTTTCACAACTGTTGCAAAAAGGTGGAATTTTGCGAACATTTAGGCGTCGTTAAGACGTCGTGATACGATGCTTTCACAACCAAAATATCACATGCGAAAGACGCAATAATGACGTCTATGCGACAAAATCCTCAACAGCAAAGACGTAATAAAGACGTCTTTGCAACGGTTGCAAAACAGTGGATGTTCGCGGACATCTGGGCGTCTTAAAGACGACATATTGCAACGTTTTCTCAACGACATCCGCGAACGACGTTGCTGTGCTACTTCGGTTCCATACTAAATTCATAAGCCTTAATTTTTTGTCTGGGATACTCCTTGTAACATACTATTAGTATTATTCATATTGTTTTATATCCTATGCAGTGCTCTTAAATTTTTTCCCTTGTATTTAGGTGTTATGATGCCATGTATCATTCCACATAAATTCATAAACTTAATATTTTCCAGTCTCTGAGAACTCCGTAAGTGCATGCACGTTAAGATAATTTTGGATATGAGTGCATGAATAACTACCATATTTACTAGCATATTTTCCATCCTCAAATACACTTCTGTAGCATTTTTAGTATATGATTTTGATTTTTTTCATATGGTGTTTAGTTTAAAAGAAAGTTCGTGTTTTTGTAGTATGATGAATGGCATTGTCTTGATGAACGAATTACCCTGTGGAGACGCTGGATGTATTGTATGTCTAGTGACAGAATGTTCCTGAAGTAGCAAACACTTATAATGATAGCATGAACTCTTATGAAATGTGATGTGCTGTTACATTGGATAGTACTCTATACAAGAATGCTCCTTATTGGCGCGAGGTATGAGTACATTTTTCTAAGAGTCTTATCCCGGCAGCGGCGGATACGCAAGAAATTATTATTTCCTTCTTAACAAAAATATGATTCATCAGAGAAGACGGTATCATGCCACTCAATTCTCCACACGTGACGTTCAACATGCCACTTGCAGTCTGTCACTACGTTGCTTTCATCAGAGATAACCTGAGAACCGATTGACGATGTCCATAATCTACAGAAAAATAAACAAGGACGTATCGGACAGATATCAGTGAATACGTCCTTTTTCCACTGCTGTCCTAGTACTATCAATGACACAGATCGGCCAGCCAAAGACACCCTGAATATGATCCTCTGTCGATGTAGTCAGCTTACGATATCTAGAACCTTCTTCTCGTTTCTTCGAGCAAACTTTTGTATATTCTTAAAATCACAGAAAAATTCAGCTCCTTTCATCTGGGAATCTCACCGAAAGATGCACTCAATTCTCTCGCGCCAATACTGCATCTTTTCTCAAAATTACTATCATAATTATATGGTTGTCGTACCCAACTTGAAGCATCTGTACTCTCTTCTGAATAGGGATTAAAATTCCTGTCCATCCACGCTGCGCTTTTAAAACAATCAAGGCTATTTACATATGACTGTATAATACATTATGACTATATTTTGAAATCTTGTTGGCATATCATTGAAATTTACTTCCATTGAGGCTGAGATGCTAAAAGTTTGTTCTGTATTTGCTTATTTTACGCATCTTGAAAAAAAATTACAGTTGTAGCTACACTCCTTCTAGATATGCTTCCTTTTGGAACAGTATTATAAAAATTGAAATTTAATACCAAATTTAAACTATGCACCTTAACAAGAAATTATCCTTCTAGCTGTAGTCCAAAAAATCGGTGACAGCATGATATGTGAAAGTAAAATAAAATTAAAGCAAAGCACTGAAGACGATAATAATCTTAGCACTCATTTTAACCATGGAATTTCTATATTTATTATTCCATTCGAAAAGGGATACAATGTTTAGTTTTATACTTACGGTTTTTAAAGGGAAAATTAGTGAGAAACCGGAGAAAATTCCTCAAGGTTTTATGAAATTTTGTAAAGAAGATATGAAATTATATTATTTTTGTATAGAAAAAGCCATAAATAAGAAAGTGTTAATTAATTCATAATTTACATTGAACAACCATCTCTTTAAATTTTTACAAATATATAAGCAATATCAGAAGAGCTCATCATCTCAAGACCAAAATCTATTTTCTTTCGGATATTGCTTCGAATTTTGTATGTCCCTTAGAGTTTTACTTGTCTGTTACTTGTGCAATAGATTTGAAAGTGGAGTCATATGGGCCTTTTATAGATTAACTTAGAAATGCATGAGTTAAAACTTAGCCTATGCATAATGTGAAAATATTAAGATAAAAATATGCAATAGATATGAAAGCGTAATAATGATTTTTTCCGAAGCATTACTTGTAATTACATTTGAGCACTAAATATTCAACTGAATGGCTTTGCGTTGACTATATGTAAAATTACATTCGTTACATACTTCATAAACAGAAGAAGAAATTTATAGAGTTTTTTTTTATCACTGTTTATGCAAATTGCCTTAACACGCATATTTAAACTATGCATATTTAGTTATAGGAATAATTAGCTCATACACTACTTCTAAGATAGAAAGGTAGTTCAGTATGCAGATTTATCATTATGATATGCTGCAAACAACGGAAGCCGGAATCAAAGCATCCCCAGATTTTTTTTCCATTTAACGAAACATAAACTATGCTTATATTAGTATTTAACCGTAATTTATTGCAATACTTATAGATTACTTTCCTTTAGTTAAAAGCTTTGAATTTATGTATGTTTTGTGATCTAAAATTAAAAAAAAAAAAAAAAAAAAAAAAAAAAAAATCTTCATCAATTAATATTCTCTTTAATATTTTTCATATATTTGCTATGCATATAACATAATCTGTTCACGTATATGTATAAAATGTTTCTTTTATTTAATGTTCTCAGAGCCGACGAGGTATGATGGTTTCACTCAACGAAGTAGCAATAACTGTGGGTTTCCTTTTAGCGTACCTTGTCAACTTCTTATTTATAACCACGCACAATGGATGGTATGTAATCTACTTAATTAAACATTGTCTTACAAAAGCTAGAGAAAATGCTATATTTTTTAATTAGAGCATTTGATTAACTCTTTGTAAATACGTTACTTTAGCTATAGGGAGTGCGGATACAGCTATCGTACTCGGAAACCACATCACCACTGACGTTACTATGACGACAGATAAAACCACTTCAACCTGTCACAAGAACCGAATTTGTATAGAAACTACCAGTATTCAATGTTTTTAACCGCTTTACCAATGAACACCCAGGCGACAAATAACACAGACAAAAGAAAAAAGTTATTTCAGGAGCAATAAATATCACATTTCTCTACAAGTCGTGAGACAAAAATAAATTATTCTAGAAAAGTGCCTCGGCAAGTGCAAAGGGTTGAAGCATTGTTATGGTTCGTGTTTATACACGTGTTTCCTTATTAATGCTATTAATTTTTATTTTATTGTAAATTTGTTCGCATTTTTTGTGTTACAATAAGATTGCATTTATGTATTTAGTATTTTTTTGTGTGTCTTATTTTTAATATAATTTTGCGTACATTCCTTACGTGCAGAAAATTCTATCTGCATAAATTTTAATTTGTGGGCAGTTATTGTATTTTTAGGTGTTTAATTATTTTATTATTTTCTATTAGGCGTAATGTTGAGCAAACAGATGTTGGAATTGCGTTATTAGCTCTAACAAAACCGGAGATATAGCCTGTTAAAATGTATCCCGATTTGGCTACAACATTTGTTGTGACGTCTGAGACATATTGCGATATTTCGCCAATTTGTGACAACTCAGAAGCATTCATAAATCCCAGTTTGCAGAGATCATAACCCACTAACGGACAAGCCCGCCAGATGAGCGGGCTGCGGTCAAAGCAAAATTTATAAATCCTATGTATACCTGAAAAGAAAATATATAAAAATATTTCAATATGAATGAAATCAGTTCTATATACACCTGAATTTTTTAAAACATGAACGAAATAAAGTCGGTATTCTCAAAATATTTCAGCTTCATCTTAACTTGATTCGCTTCAGTTTACCCTAACCTTGGAAAAAAATCTCAAATTGTTCCAACTCTGTGTTGGCTTGATTCACTTCACTTTGTCTTGCAAAAATCTCAATGTTTCAGTTTTATGTTGACTTTTTCAGCTTTTTTTAAGAAAATTTCATAAAGAACATCACTGTCAAAAAACAGAAAAAGGTGACGGATGAATAAATGAGCCGCATGATTCGATAAAAAATTTTACTCTATTTAGAAAAGAGGGATGGCAGTTTTTAAATTCCACCTCATGCGCGCTTCGACGCAGCACGCCGAACAGCAATGAAGTTAGCGAAGAAAGCAACTATCAGAGTGGGAAAATAAGCGTTTTCAGAGTTTTTAATATCTCGCCTGATTAAAGACATACGAAGATGAGATTGGCCGAAATAGCTTGCCACGAAATTTTGGAATCCAGGGGTACCTCTCTGGAAACTCAACTCCCCGCCCTTCCACAGGAGATAATGTTACAAACAAACAAACAAACAGACAGACGCGCACAGGTTTCAATAGTATTAATTTTCTCAGAATACCTAGCACTCCATTTTACTTTGCTACTTTTCCATGATGTGTGAACAGAAGAGTGAGAAGTCGCGCAGATCGTTAAGAGTTAAAATCTAGTCCAAACATACTCAGCCATTTCTTCGCGAGCCACATACATATGACAGCTATTTCACACTGGTCGGAACATAAGAATTAATAAAAACTTATATGAGTTCCAGTGTTTATTTGTCAAATAATAAAATTAATAAGACTGTTGATACTGTTAACCTTTCTTAATAATGTTTTTTAGATCAGACTTGTAACTGCTATATGTTACTCTTAAAACACCATTCACATGAAAATCAGTAAACCAGTTTCTATATTTATACTTTGCATATTTTAAAGTCAAACAGGACGGTTCATATAGGTACATTGATGCGGAAAATGTGAGCAAAATTTAGGGACATTTTTTTTCGGAGCGTAGCTTGGTAGAAAGAAATGCTCGTGGATAGCTGTTGCTGCCAGAGACTGTAGCAAAACTCTCACCAATTTGTATTTGCAATTTCTTCTATATTGTTTATCACTCTGCCATCTTTTTCCAAAATAGAGAGTGAGTGGTTATTGTACATTCCAGTTGCTTTCCTTACTCTTTCCCACACTCGTCTACTTGATGTAGAGGATATGATTGTTGACACATAGGATACCCAAGAGTCCCTCTGTCGTTGTCTTCTACCTCTTTGTGCGTTTGGTTTGGCTTTCTTGAAAGCTATTAGATTGGACAATGTAGGATACCGGCGAAACTTTCCCCAAGCTCTTCTTTGCAGTCTTGGCACCAGTGGCGGCTCGTGGCTAAAATTAGTGGGGGTGATGTTCCAAAAAAATTTAACCTTTGTTTTAAAATTGTCTAAAAGGAAATAAACATGTATAAAAAGAAAATTTATTTTGAAAGTTCATGAAATCCTACAAGAAAAAAATTAAACATTTCTTAATTACTTTAACCAAAATTATTACAGTTCAATCTTTGCCTATTCATTTAAAAATGAAATCCATTTTTCTTGTTTTAATTTGCGCGAAAAGATCAATAATTTTCTCCTTGATCTCTGGATGACAACTGAGGAAATTTTTCTTTTTTGAAATCAATGCAAGCGCATCTAGTCTTTTCGAATTCCTAGTGCTTCTTAAAAAAGTTTTCATTCTATTTAATGTTGAAAAGCAGCGTTCTGCCTCTGATGTAGTCATGGGAACTCTCAAGAGGAATTTTTATCTGTTTCGTTTGCAGTATTCATGGATATCAGACCTACAATAGAATACTTTTAGTTCAGTTTCAAGCTTTTCTGTGTCAATCATTAAATATGCTTCAGTGGTCAGTACTATTTCTTCTGTAGAATGGTTATTCCTAAAACTAGTGAAGCATTTCTTGTTTAACAATTTAGCATCAGCTGCTAAGTATTTAGTGGAAGAATACCTGTGCATTATATCAATACACAGTATAAAATCACATATTTCCTTAGCTTCTGCCACCAGTGGCTTTGAAAAGTTCTTACAGTACTTTGAGTTTCTTAATTCTAAAATAGCAGTTTTGAAATTTTTTATATATTCGTTAACTTTAAACAACACACAAATTTCTCTGGATTGCATTTAGTTGTATATTATTTCAGCATGACGCATCTGATAAAAAAGTTCTAACCAAAACTTGAAATTATCATCATATAGTTCTTTTTTTTTTTTTTAATTCCTGTTGCTTTTGCAATAGTTTGATCTGCATTTGATATTGATTGAATTTCAGTAAGGCAATTTTTTAAAGGTTGCAAATTTTCATGAACTCTGTTTATGGTCCGTATGATGAAATTCCATCTTGTGGAATACCACACGCGCAGAGCAAAAAGAAATCACGTTTCCAACAACATGTCAGAATTTCAGAAATTTCTAATTGTAATCCTTCTAAAATTTAATGCATTCCAGTGAAATCTTTTCTTCACAGCTGTTAAGTTTGATATCAGTTACCATTTTCATTTTAGTGCAACTGAATTTACGACTACTTTCTTCTCTCAAAAGCTTTCCTAAGATTCAAAAAACGACTGTTCTACACTGCGATGGCCCGAAAACTGAACATGGTTTCAAGTCAGGTCAGGTCATAACTTTGATCTTTAAGTGTCGTACTAATAAAACAGACCTAATTGAATTATCCATTTAAGGCTTTAGAATTGTGATGAATTAAATCTCGTAAGGATGCATGTGAGTAGTAAATAGAATCTTGAGTTTCAATTAATTCGAGATATTGTTTCAAGAGTGACATTCTATGACGGGGAAGTGAAATCAGTTTACTAATGTAAGTCAGTGGTACTGGTCACGTGCGCAATTTCCGTGATGTTAATTGGTAGAGCGAGAGATGCTTAAGATGACATATTTTGCTGTATTTTAAAATAAATAAGAGACTATATACAAATCCAATGAATAGAATTGATTTCTAACATTCTCAGTTAAACGTAGAAAAATAACATAATGATGATACTGATATGTGATGATTAAGAAAAAATAAAACTTGAATAAGTAGGTGTGGCTGCTGATCGACCAATACAATTGCAGAAAAATACGGTAATTTCTTGAGTAAATAGAGCATATACTTCAATAAAAGTTCAAAGTTCAATATGAATTGAAGTATAGCATGATATTGAGTAAATACTGAATAATAAAATAATAAACAATGAAGATGAATATATACACATGTTACCAACGAACATTATGGTGAATTGTCCTTGGTCTTTTGTACGGTTGTTCGATTATGCAGTCGTAATTGTCCATATTTTGACGAGATTTGGAGGGATGATTTTCGATTTTGTTGTAGAATTTATAGACGGTCATTAGTATTTCTTCATCAATAGTATTTATTTTCATGTCTCTGTGCAGGACTTCGTTTCTTACGAACCACGGTGCACCCAGCATGGTTCTGATGATTTTATTTTGCAGAGTTTGTAACGGTTTTTTATTCGTATGTGCAGCTGCCGCCCAAACAGGCGAACCGTAAAGCATGACTGGTCTTATTAATTGCAGATAGATAATTCTTTTTGTATTTATGCTTAGTTTCGAATGGCTATTGATGATTGAGTAAACACTCATAAATGCTTGCATAGCTTTGGTTTTGGTAGCTTGAAGATGATTTTTAAAATTTAGTTTGGAGTCAAGGTGAATTCCAAGATATTTCACTGGGTTATCTCTATTTACGGGTTGAATCAGTTGCGATTGGATAGGTTTGCTTTGTGTTTCCAACTCAAAAGTTGTGAATTTAATATCGCAGTTGCGATTTAAGATAGAATCTGTAATATTTGTATCTCTTAAGAAAAATTACAGTGACCCTCCCCATTTGAGCTAGTTTCTTTATTTGTAAATTTTGTTATCGCTTGGAACTGCAATAAATGCTTACGGTTTTATCTTCGCCTGACCTGTCAGTTATCTGTACGAATGGTTATTATGTAAGAAA